GCATGCACTACACTTCGTGCTTTACCTTCTCTTTGGACTAAAACACTGAAATATTATCCTTTTTAGTGGTGAGCTCGATAAATTTGTTGCTCAAAGTAGTATTCTGAGTGCATCGGCTCGTTATTCGCAGACACTATCATCCACAAACAAGATCAATGACATTTCTGTATCATACATAATGAAAACGACGCGAACGTCTTCTTCAAATGTAACTTCTATGAAAAAGAATGCTGCAGTTGTTACTGAAGAGTATTGGCTCTGGTCGGCCGTTACTGCATTCAACGATATTGACCAAGAGTTATTGAGTTTAAATGAATTCCGTAGCTTTACACCGTGTGGAGGTGTTTGCTTTGGTCTAAAAAAGAAAGCCGATGATCAATACAGTATTCGAACTGATGTAAAAGGATTAGTATATTGTTTTCTACCAACAAGCATGGAGTCAAATTTACCATTCCATATGAACGGATGTTTTGCCCTATACACCGATCGTCGTCGTCTGTTACAGAAGTTTATCGACGATCGAAACAAGCGACAATTCGAATGGAATGACCTTGTTTTGAAAGCCGTTTGTAAAGCACTTTTATTTGGTTTAGAAAGTGCATTAAATGTATGTGGTCCACATTCATTTGAAACATTAACAGAATTTTGGCCAGTCCCAATCAGATCGCCATCACTTAAAGCCTTAGAAACAAGTTTTTTGTCTTCGATTACTGATCCATTGAAAAGTTATGCAATATTCAGTGATGGCAAACAAGTGGGCTGTTTCCAACAATGCTGGATTTTGCATATCGATTTTCCAAAAACAATTCAACAGCTTTTATTGGACGAACTTCGTTTGAACTTGCTGCACGTGTTACAGAATAATAGGTATGTTGAGCTACTTTATTAGTTATGCCATCTGCATGCAATCTGATTACGCATTCTGAGAAATGTCCTCCCCATTGTGCATTAGCATGTATATCTGCATCTCCATCCACACCATTTAGAATCAACAGAAAATGATACCCTTAAAGAATACCCTTACTGCACCATTCCTAACAATTAATACTGTTTTAGCGTATACTAATCCCTTCCTTTTATTTACAGTGAGAAATCATTACTTTTAATTTTACCAATGGCCATTCTAAACGCCATTAAAGAAAGAGAAGCCAATGCAATTAAGGAAAGAGTGTGGAATGAAGAAATGTCTGTCCAAAAGCTATTGACAGTTGTACAACAATGTAATCAAAATGTGTTGGACAAAATTATGATTTATCTTATAACAGAAAAAGCTGTTGATCAAATGACCACCATACCAACAAAAATCGGTGACTTAATAAAAAAAAGTGTCTGCATACGTTCGTCTTCAGGTTTATTCAAAATTCCATCATCATTAATTGATCCCAGTGCATCATTGGCTAAACTTTACGACCTTAGTCAACTGCATGAGTCACTTCCACATTCGGTTTATTGTGAACCAGCAGTTGTTGAAAAGTTACGTCACTTAGGATTGATTAAACAATTCTTACCGATGTCATATATTGTCGAACGTGCAAAAACTGTCGAAAGCTTCAATGAGAATGAATATGAAAAAGCTAAGGAGCGCAGCAAATTACTGTTGCAATGTTTAGCTCAATTGCTACAAAAACCAAAAGGAAGTGAAGGCATTGAAAAATTATTAGATATCAAGTTCATACCAGCCAAACAAAAGCCATTGTTATACAAAATGCAATGGTATGGAACGGATAAGGGCCGATTTTGTGCACCTATTGATAAAATATATAACGATACTTATGAATATCTTTGTGGTGGTGTTCATTTGTTATATGAAAATGAATTAATTAGTGATAAAGTATGTGATAAAGTATGTGAAAAACTTCAGTTAAAAAGCCCCATACCCGTTGAATCTCTAATCGAACAAATGCGTATATTAGAAAATGAATGGTCAAAAAGAGAAATTTCACCATCATCAAGTAATATTGTTGTCATTGGTCAATTTACATCTGATGTTGTCAACTGTCTTTACAAAACCCTGCAAGAAAGAACAAAGGACGATAACGTATTACAAAAAGTCAGAGCATTAATACCACCAAAATGGCTTTTCATTGATGGACACTTCTATAGTGTGAACGATGTTGCTAAATATGTTCAATATCCATGTCCCTCTTCCTATGTTCAGTTACCAAAAATGTATCTGGAGTACACATTTTTCGATAAATTAGGGCTTAACAAATACTTTACACATGAATATTTTATTACTTCCTTAAAAATACTGAAAGAGAAATACAATGATCAGCCATTGTCACCAACAGATGTAGATTGTGCGATTAAAATGACATTAGAATTATATGCAGTTTTGAAAGAAAAAAAAGAAAGTTTTGCTAAAACTCAAGATATTTATTTACCAGATACTAATTATATATTGAGATCAACGGAACATTTGTGCTTTAATATTGATGATGAAAGTGTACAAGATATGTTTGAAAGTGATATTACAACGTTGCATAAAGATATACCAGTGAATATTGCAAATATATTAGGTGTAAGACTGTTACAACAAAAGGTGATTGAAGATCTGTCTATTGGCATTCCATTTGGTCAACATGAAAAATTAACAACAAGAATTCAACATTTACTTGAATCATATCCACAAGATAAAGATATTCTAAAAGAATTATTACAGAATGCAGATGATGCTGGCGCCACGACAGTCCATTTTATTTATGATCCACGTCATCATTCAACAGAAAGAATTTTTACACCAAAAAGGAATGTGAAAAACGTGGATGTAACTCAAAACTATGCACCAGTTCAAGGTCCTGCTTTATTATGTTATAATAACAGTCAATTCTCAGAAGCTGATTTCGAAGGTAAAATTTTCTTTCATCCCTTTTTT